ACCCATCGACGCTAGACCTGTTTCTTTCAAATACCGGCTTGTCCAAGCCGGTAGCCTTAAACGAACTCAGCTCCGACCACCAACCGGTGGTGGCTGAACTGGGCTGCAACGTGGCTCCTGCTTCAAGCCTGCGCAAGGACTACCATAGCGTAAACTGGGCCCAGTTTGGACGCGTGGTAGACAGGTACATCATCGACAACCCGCCGCTTGACACCGTGGAGGACATCGACCGAGCGTTGGAGGGACTCCACCAAGCCATAACCGTGGCTGACGAGGTGTGCGTCCGACGAGTTCCTGTGAGGGGTAAGTTTATTGCCATTGATTCCCACACCCAACTTTTGATTCGCCTGTCAAATGTTCGTAGACGCCAGTTTCAGAGGACTGGAGATCTGGGCAAAAAACGTGAAATGGCTGATCTGAACAGACATATTGCTTCCAGAATGGACTCACTCCGAAATGAAAGTTTCGGGCGTGTTGTCCAGAATCTGGACGACCGCTCCAGACCATTCTGGAAGGTAGCCAAGGTCCTGAAAACTCATCCCAAACCCATTCCACCTCTCAAAGTCGAAAATGATGACGATCGGCTTCTAATCACCCCACAGGAGAAAGCAAATGCGATTGGCGAGCATGTCGCTTCATCGCATTTGCTTGGCTCGAATATCCAAAGTCCGCTCGAAGATCAGGTTGCGCAATGCGTTCAAAACCTAGATGCCTCCCCTTGTGTCGTGCCTCCGGCGGATATGATTACAGTACAACAGATTTGCTCAGCGCTGAAATGCACCAAGAACATGAAGGCTCCCGGGTTTGACGGTATATTCAACTTGATCTTGAAGAGACTCAGCATGAAAGTGCAGTCTCTTCTAACCGCTATCTTCAACAGATGTTTGGAACTGCACTACTTTCCAAGCATCTGGAAAATAGCAAAAATCATACCAATCCGCAAACCCGGTAAGGATCCAACATTGTCTTCAAGCTACAGACCAATCAGCCTCCTTTCAGCGCTGAGCAAATTGTTCGAGAAACTCATTCTCAATCGTTTGCTCAAGTTTGTCGAGGAAAATAACATTCTCCTTCCGGAACAGTTTGGGTTCAGAAAGGGGCACTCCACCAATCACCAGCTAGTGCGGGTGATGAATAACATCCGAAGTAACAAAGCTGTATCCAAGTCCACAGCCATGGCATTGTTAGACGTTGAGAAAGCGTTTGATAATGTCTGGCACAATGGGCTTGTATACAAGCTTTGTAACTTCAACTTTCCATTACATCTGGTTAAAATCACCCGTAACTACCTCCAGCAAAGGTCGTTTAAGGTATCGTTGAATGGTTGTCTTTCCGACACGTTTTCCATCCCAGCAGGAGTCCCGCAAGGCAGTCTGCTGGGCCCCTTGCTTTACAGCATTTACACTTCCGACATTCCTCTCCTTGGAGACGGTTGCGTGTTTTTCCTGTTCGCAGATGATACCGCAATAGCCGTCAAAGGAAGGATGCCTCGCGAAATAACGAACAAACTTCAACGATGCCTTAACGCCTTTGCTGATTATGCCACCACGTGGAAAATCAAAATCAATGCCTCCAAAACACAAGCGATTATGTTCCTCCATCGGCAATCGCCCAAACTGAAACCGGCTCCATCTTGTACTGTAATCATGAATGGCACAAGGGTTGAGTGGTCTGCCGAAGTTACCTATCTCGGGATGTTGTTTGATGAAAAGCTCCTCTTCCGTGCGCATGTAGAGAAAACTGTAGTTAAGTGTTCTGCCTTGGTTAGGTGTCTGTATCCGCTGATTTGCCGCAGATCCCGCCTCTCAAGGGTGAACAAACTGGCCGTCTACAAACAAATCATAGCACCTGCGATCCTTTACGCAGCTCCGGTGTGGGAATCATGTGCACAGACTCACAGGAACAAAATCCAGGTCGCTCAGAATAGAGTGCTGAGGATGGTACTTGATCGTCCTTTTGACACTAGAATAACAAATTTACACGAAGAGGCAGGCATTGCCAAAATAGATTCCAGAATTAATGAAATTAAGACTAAATTTGCACAAAAATGTAATTTATCAGAACATGCTTTGATAAGCAATTTGTATATAGTAGATTAGGTGTATATAGTAGTTGTAGGTTAGTTGTAGTTGTAAATAGTATTTATAAGTAGTCTCCTTTTTCAAATTTTAAAACAAACCAATCCCACCAAGGTGGTCATTCTCTAAAACAGGCCCGATAGGACTAGGAACTGTAATTAATAATAATTGAAATTTCACAGGAACTAAAGTTGAAAAGACGCATCTGTGTCACTTGATAAGTTATACATGTAAACCACACAAATTCAAGAAATATAGATCATTTAAAGTCAAAGTCAAGTTTTTTCAGTGCTAGGTTCTGAAATTCGAAAGTGAGCGTTCAAAAGGGGCTACTTGTAATGTTCGATTCTCTTCATCGATTTTCTGTTTACATTGCTACAGCTAAGCGAAACAATTCAAGCTGAACATTGCATTAGGTCCTAAGTAACACTGACAAGATTCTCTTCATCGACTTTTTCCTTGAATCCACTCGGCCCAGGTATTTTCAGCACACATATCGATAAAAGAAGTTTTTATCTAGCATCTAATACGACAAACACAACAAGAAACGATCCTGTGCTCAAGTTATTAAGGCTGTGTTCCATTTGGTGAATGTTTACTTATATTTGACAGATGGAAAATTTTCAAATAAACCTGCCTATCCAGCAGACTTATTTCTGACAGACAAGGAATCAATTTTGACAGACGCTTTCTCGCAAATCGGCCGATGTACAACAGAGGGATTTTCGAACATCTTAATTTATTTTCGAAGTGTCAAATCTAAGTGAAAATTTTCCAAATGGAACACAGCCTTAGTATATTTTTTTTATTTGTTCAATCGGTAGATAAAAGATGTACCGAGAACTTTTTGGAGGGATTCATGGCTTATTGATATCCCGATCAACTATGAAATGTTGCATAACATTGTTGCGAAATTGTGCACTCCGTTTAGCGTTTTGAAGTTGAATTGCTGAGGAAACCTTATTTCTTATCAATCTCATTACCATATAAAAGTTTCAAGAGTACAGATATCAGCCCTCACAAAATTTATTACATAGAAACTGGAACTTTACGTTTGTTGCAGTTCAGTACACAAGAAGTTTCAATTTCATGAGTGATGTCACCGTCCAAGATTTGTGCCCTAGAAATCTTGAAGTGATAGGGAATATCAGCCATCATGACGGTCATTGTTGAACGCTTCAATGCATCACCTGAAGAAAGCCTTACTCATATCTGATTGTTATTTAGGAACCAAATTTAATAGAATATGTATTAGCATTTTTATGAGGTCCTGAATTTAACCAAGTTTTACTGAGTAGGAAATCCAAAATATGTACATAGGACCGAAATCATAGGTTACTTCTACTGTATTTTAAATCAATATCTATAAAAACGCACGAGAATTTCACTACACAGCTTAACGTAGTCTAAGTCAACCATGCGGTCGTGTCTTGTACACAACCCCACCATTTTTTTTTTTAAATCTCGAAAATCCAGGGTTGTAGCCCAGAAGGATCTAGGCCCTTTAGAGCAAGATCAAAAAAGCCGTTTGTTCAAAATGCCAAAATAAGCGTTTTGTCCAAGTTTGGCTCAAATCGGTGACATCGACTACAACTTTTAAAAATTCTGTACCCACTTCAGCTGCAATGATCCATATGGTAACTGTTATACTTACCCGTTTCTATTTAGATGCAGCGGAAGCAGGGCTGGTAACAGGTCACTTTTTAGTGACTTGGTCACTTTTTTCAAGTCAGTCACTAAAAAGTCACTTTTTTCATCAAAAAGTCGTTTTTTTAATATTAATTTACTAAGTTTTTTTTTATTTAAGTTTTTTTTCCTTAAAGTCAATTTAACTACCTACGACTTATTTTCGGATGTCATCCTGTGATCTGAGTGCTTTCGTGTTATGATATTTTGAAAAAACATAATCAATTTTTTTAATACGCCTTTTTCAAAAGTTACTGTAAAGAAAAAAAATCATATTTAAATGAAAAATGCAATCATTGGTAGCAGGAAACATATGAGTAATGTTTCATTCAAATCGGAAACACTGATGTCCAGTATTAGTATTAGTATCAGTTCCTGGAGGGCCAGATGTAGCAAAACAACGCGAAGGGGTATTGTCTATGAATGCGATGACGAGTGGAGGATATAAAACACAAATCTCACGGAATGACAATAATTTTAACACATCGGCTCAGAAAACAATCAACACAATACGAAAAATAGGCACTTCTCAATAGATGTCAAAAATTACACTGGGCAGCAAAAAAGATGGGTCGAAGCGAATCAGTATTGATGCAATCATAAGATGTTTTGCGTGCAGTGTATGCAACCTTGTCGTTGTGTCGGTGTGATTTTTATTGTTTGATAGAGTGAATTACGCCTTCATCAGTAGGAAAACTCTATTTCAAGCTTCGGTAAACCAAAATATTGCCGCAGGCTGTGAACCAATTGAACAGCCAACGAACGTTTCCTACAACTCTTTACCCATCAACATTCACTTCGCATTACGACTGTGAAATGGAAATTTCTTCAAAGTAGAATTTGAATCTTTTGAAACCTTTCCTGCCTCTATTGTTTCCCAGCTTTTCAAAGAATAAACTGCAAGAATTTCCTCACATTGTGCCGGCGTTTAATATGCAGTTAGGCAAAAAGAAAAGCCACGACAACGACGAAGCGACTCAGTGCCCCGTAAATTTGCCTCCCCTCAAATGCCATATAATGATTTAATTAAAATTAAAACAATTGAACCCATTGCGCCCTCTCTCGGTGGAGAGGTGAAGCGTGGCACTCTCGAGTGTGTGACCGTTGCCGTGGCCTCAACAAGGGCTAGGTGTTTTATTAAAACAGTTTTTCACTCTGTAGATTTCCACTTTTATGAAACAAGGATTCAAATTTCTTCTTTTTCTTGTTTTCGTCCTTCTACGACGCATTCTTTAGGTAAGCGCCCTCAAGGGTCACAAACGGTACTGCCGCTGGCGGGATTGCGTCTGTGCGAAATGTACTCTTATCGCCGAGAGGCAACGGGTCATGGCGGCTCAGGTAAGAATAAATGTGCGATTTCTGCTGATTTTAAAGTCGGTTCCATGTGGGAAACTAATTGCTTGTTTTCCTCCTAGGTGGCCCTCCGTCGGCAGCAAGCTCAGGAAGAGAACGAAGTGCGTGATTTGGGGCTTTTATATACCGGCGGAGTGCACAATGTAGGCCAACCGATTGCCGAATCCAATGGGCAGCCCAATGTGGGACAGTTTCACACAGGGATTCCTTCCCCACCGAATGATTCCGACGGTGGCAACCGAGGGGGCTACGGAGCAGCTGATGGTAAGTTACAGACATTTTTGTGCACTCAGTAAATTCTTTCGATGTCTTAGATCTCCGTTGGTTCTAATAAGTTCTCTTTTTCTACCTCCAAAAACCGCAGAAACAGACAATCCCCGACTCCGACCGGAGCGCATAAACTCCGCCTATTCACCCGAGCAGAGCGAACCGGACAGTCCTGGTAAGTACCGGTATTTATAACACTGCAGTGTAGTGTTGGTAAAACACAGTCGATGAATTTATTATTACACTTTCAAGCTTGTAATAACTTTTGATTAATGACACTCGATAAACACCAGCAGTGCACAGCACTGGCAGTTCGGCGAGCAACGTTTTCTCCCTGAAGTGGATGTTGCTCCGGAATGATTGTTGCTACTGCTGCTGCTGCTGCGCCCATGCCGAGGTTCGGTGGAATAATAAATGACGTTAATATTCTGGCACCGGTGTAAAATTGCTGAGCTCACCACTTTGTGCACTAGAGCAATGGTGACACACAGAGTTTTCAAGTGGTATTGGTTACTGTAAGCAGCACTTGAAGGGTCACAAACTTTATACATTGTAAGCGTTGAGTCGCTCGTTGATATTGTTGCAATTGACATATTTTACAATGAATGTTGCGAGCTTCGCTTGGATTGAGCTTGTGAAAAATTTGATTTTCATGAAGAAGTTCAAAGCATTTTTTTCAGCAATAAAAAATAATCTTTGATCTTGTTCGGATACTTCAAACCTGATTACTGATACCTGTTTAATAACTTTCATGTCATTTCTGGATAGAAATTGAAGAATTTGATGTTTAGGTGACTGTGTTTACATTTATTCAAATTTATGGAATGCAAAGTAGTTAAAAGCTTTAATTCTTCTTAAATAATTTGTTTGCAGTAATACAAGTGGAAATCAAAATTATTGGCATAGTATCTATTTATGTAATGTTTTGAGAGAATTATATCAGGATTTGCAGCAAGGTCCTGCTCACAGAAATAATTCAATGATTTGTTATGGTTTATCTAATAAAATTTCCATGAGAAAATAAAAGAGATCTTACAAGGCACAGCACAGTGGGCTAATGATTTTTTTTGTTTAAATCGTAACCAACATTCCCTTTTAAGAATTAGGCTGCTTCTCAATTCACACTTTGGTTTCAAAATGATGTATTAAAAAATCTTTTTTTTTAACCATCCTGAAGGTTCTGCCGTTTTATTTAAAATATATCATGTAAAGTTCACAATGATAGTGGCATCTTTTTCTGGGTCGTTGTCTATATTTGTTTTAATATAATTAACATTTAAGGCGCTCTACAATAAGACAACATCTAAACCCTAGTGACACAAACTTGAGCAAAATGTGGTCCATATATTTAGAAAGGTATGTGTGTGTATTAACAGTCTAACACCCACTGACTGACAGTGGCATTATGGATAGAACCCTCCTGCAACCATCTTTTATATAAATAATTGCAAGAAATCATTTTTCATACTGCCGTATTCTAACGGAACTATCCACTTACTCTCTTCTAAAAGATCATTCTCTAGCTAATAAATTATCACACTTAAGGGGGTATTCCCAATCTTTTGCCTTTTTTCGGCCTGTTTTTCAATTAATTTTTTTTCAAGGAAAATGAATAGTAATGCGCCTAACTCTTTGGGATTCTTGTTTATTGAACATTAAAGTTTACAAATAAATTTTTTTCGACATAAAAAAAGACATTATTGACGTCACAAAATGGTGGCAAACAGACCCCTGTTCGCCGCAAACGCCTGGACGGGCGAAGACTTTTCTCTGGAACGGCTTCATCTGAAACAGATTTCGTGATGAAATTATAATCTGCATAAGATTCTCTGGAGCTTCTCCCGTTGGCAGCAAAAAATCTTGCAAATTAACAAAATGGCGGCCATATGAAAAAACAGGCGATTTTTAGCCCGCTTTTTTGCAGCTTTAAGGTGCTTCAAACAATGTTAAATGTTAATATTTTTGGCTGAAAGTGGGAGAAGCTCCAAAGAATTTAATAAGGAACAAAATGCGCAAAGATTCAAGTCAATATCTCTTATAGTTTCTGAGAAAAATCTTCGCCCGATAAAAAAAATGTGGTTTCGAGAAAAACGCGTTTAAAGTTTTGACTTTAGTTAAAACCATTTGGGGGTTCTTACCATTAGTCAGCTATGCCTGGACACCGAATTCGCTGATCGGAAAACGGCTTGGGGGGATGAAAGTATATAGTCTAAAGTACAAAAAAACGTGAAAAAAAAAAATTTGATTTTTTGAAAAAAAAAGATCGGGAATACCCCCTTAAGCTTCATGTAAGCATTTCCAACCAACTCTGAATTGCAAGAAGCTTAAATCCGGGAGTTAGAAGGTGACAGTTCTATCGCAACTAAAAAAGCCCATTTCAAGAACGCAAGCATTCCGAAGCTATTTTCGTATACGATAAGCCCCGCTCCAGATACATTTCAATGTGGGAATCATTAATAATGTACCGGAACTTTCAATGAAGCTGTATTGCTTGATTGACGCGTAATAGTAATAGTACTCGGAAATTAAGTATGAAAATATTATAAAGGACAAAATGGAACGAATTCGCCAAATCTGGCCAAGTGAACCCAACAAGCTGGCCTGATGTGTTAGAAGGGAACTCGCAATTCTAGACGGTTCGCTTTATTACCCCGTGAACGGTTTGTGGTAGAGCTTGCACGGAATGTCTTGAATGTAGTCTTGAAACACCTCTTGGCCGTCCGACACAATCCACACACTGTGGAACTTGATTCAGGAAATTCAAGTATCCGTTCGTCAACAATATCACTTTGGTGTTAAAAACAAATTCGGCACAACGCAAAATCCAAACAAAAAAATTTCGCTTCCAAGCACAGCACTCTTCGATCTTTCTGGTCCAAATTTTTGGCTGTATTTCATTTGGTGAATTTCCACTTAAATCTGACAGATGGAAAACTTTCAAATAAACCTGTACCATACTTATTTCTGACGGACCTACACACTTAGAAATTATCGCCGACTTCGGTAAATTTTACCGAAATCTGAACAACTGAACTATTCGGTAAAATTTATGCAATTCAATTTCATTACTTTTCAGCTACTTTGAAACTAAATATCCACTAAAATGAAAAGACTTGATCATTTAAACAAGGTTGAACATGTTTTGAAATTATTTTCAAATTCAAAGAACTTTAAAATGAAGGTCAAAGTTTTACCGAACGTTCAGCTGTTCCTTTTTAATTTATTCGATAAGGCTCAACCGAATTTACATTACAGAGCCGAGGATTCTTGGTCACTATAAAATACATCTTAAAACTATAGTCAAAAGGTACAACACAATAAACACTTTATCTTCCGCTATCCAAAAATCCTCCTCCTTCCAGTGGTTTCATTGTATGGCAGTTACGCCATCGTGGGGCAAAGCGCTTCCATTGCAACAATTGACGCAAAATGTGGTCAACACTCACACACTCATCACGAAACGGTTGCTTTCCAAAGTCGACGACGCATCGACCGAAAGAACTGCTGATGAAGAACAATGAGGAGGACCACACAATGGTTGCTGCCGAGAAAACAGACGATCGCGTGGCACACATCGAGAGTGGCCTGCTTTTGTCGACAGCCGAGTGAACACTGAGTTCAGCTGTTCTGATTTCGGTAAAATTTACCGAAAACGAAAACAAAATCTTAGTGTGTAGAATCAATTTTGACATCAGATCATCACCAACAGAGAGATTTTCGAACATTATTATTTATTTTCGAAGTGTCAAATGTAAGGGAAAATTCACTAAATGGAACAAAGCCTTAGACAGTACAAACTTCATATTGACGCAGATTGTCATATTAGGTGCATTTTAGAGTTGGAAGCCTAAAAATCATTTTCAATGTTAAATTGTGATTTAATGATATAATGACTGTATTCGAAAAAAAAAAATGAGACCAACATTAATGGTCGCCAAAAATTCTATTAAGTCCGATTCTCTTCAAACTTTCAGGAAATAAAAAATAAAATTATGGTTATGTTTCAATCTAATCTTTTTTTTTTTTTTTGTCAATTACTTTATTTGTACAGGCTCAATCGAATAAACTTTACAGAGCCAAGTTATCATTTTCTTTATACATTATAAATGTCTTAAATCTAAAATTAAAGGATTGGAACCGATTACTCGCGGTCTTCTCGAGGTTAGTGGATGACAATTGTTTGGATCGGGAGAGGGAAAAGGAGATTTGGAATATGATTTATGATTCAAAAATGTCACTATTTCTAAAACATATACTTAATCCTATCGACGTTATATCAACTCTGTAATTATACAATTATTACAGAAACAAATCTACAAAAAAATACACACACACATATAAAATACAAACTAAACACAAGGTTAATCAAACTTACAATCTATGGTTAATATTCTTCAAGAAAACATATATGAGTTGCATAAACTCCAGATCGCGTCTAGCCAAAATATCCCGAACTGGAACATTAGGTTGTCTACCTCGAGCCCGAAGGGAATCGTACAACTCGGATCTGACTCCACGGTGCTCAGCACATGACCAAATAATGTGATCTGCGTCCTGGTAACCTTGTCCACATTCACAGAGATTACTGTCCCCCAGCTCAACACGGAACAAGTGAGCGTTTAACGAGTAGTGATTGGACATGAGGCGAGACATCATACGAATGAAGTCTCGACCCACATCCAACCCCTTGAACCAAGGACACTTCGACACCTTAGGGATGATTGAATATAACCATCGTCCCAAACTCCCTTCACTCCATTTATTTTGCCAGCTGGCGAGTGACTGTTGACGGTAAATGAAGAAAAATTCGTCGTAGGCGATTTGTCGATCGTAAATATCGCCTTCGATAGCGCCCACCTTTGCAAGTGAGTCAGCCATCTCATTGCCCGGAATCAAGCAATGAGATGGGACCCATGCAAAGGTGATGACAAAAGATCTTAAAGATAAAGCACTTAGAAGCTCTCGTATTTTCATGAGAAAATACGAGGAGTGCTTTACCGGCCTCATGGAGCGAATAGCCTCGACAGAACTGAGACTATCCGTAAAAATAAAATAATGATCTGGTGCAAGTGAGACGATCGTTTCCAGCGTATAATGTATTGCCGCCAGTTCAGCAACATATACGGAACAAGGAGCTTGAAGCATTCGAGAGGCGCTATGAAATTCGTTATAAAT